TTTTCATTTATTTTCAACCACAAGTTCTTAAAAAAAAAAAAACTATTCCAAACATTAAAATTTGAAAAAAAAAAAAATGGGGGCATAATAAGTCTAAAAAAATTGTTAATAAACATTTTTTCATATTTGTTGGATAGCCACACCGATTATTTAAAATTGTGACTTGGCTGCAGAATTATTATTCTGCTGCACAAATTTTTAGTTTTTTTTTCCTCTTCAGCTAATTTTATTTTTTAATATAACAGGTTAATAAGCACTGGGAATTCCAAGAAATTAGGTGCTTCTATTATGTTGTCAAAAAATATTTTCTTAATTTTTTTGTACTCCTAAGATGCTTCGAAATTGTATTTTATTGGTAGCTCATATGGAAACTTACCTTGTCAGAAGTAAGTTTATTTTGTTCATCTCATTCAACTAAAATATCTACCGTCAATCCTTAAAACTCAACACGCTAACATTAACTTAAAATAACACAACCCGTGCATTGCACGAGCTGACGACTAGTTTGAGAGTAAGGATGCGATGAAAAAAATATTTAAGACATAAATGTAACAAAATGTAAAGATTATGAACTTGTTATGTAATTAAAATTTAGTCTAATTATTAAAAATTGTAATATGAGTACATTTAGCCTTACATTTTCACACATTTTTCTTTTGTATATTTTGGCCCATGAACGTTAAATTTGATGCCAAAAGGGTCTCAAAAACTTTTTGAATACCGAAAATTCAGCCATTGTTGGGTAATTTTGTCGTTACTGGGATTATTGTATCTCGCCTTGTTATGTTTCAGAGAGTTAATTGTTCCAATGGTCACTAAACTTAAGTTCATGTCTTTGATTGACCACCGAATTTTAAAATATCAAGTTTTAGCTACTGAATTTAGGTTCATGTCTTTAATTGGCTACTGAATTTTAAAATGTCAAATTTTGCCACTGAACTTTGAAAAATGTCGAGTTTTGGTCACTAAACTTAGATTCATGTTTTCAATTGCTCACTGAAATTTAAAGTGTCGAGTTTTGGCTACTAAACTCTAAAAAAACGTTGTTCATTGCTAATTGAATTTTGAAAAATATTGTACATTACTTATTGAATTTTGAAAAATGTTGTGCATTATTCACTGTAAACTCAATATTTTTCAAAGTTTTACAATTATACTAGTGAGTAATATACAGCATATTCTAAAGTTCAGTGGCCAAAACTCGTTATTTTAAACTTAAGGGAGCAATCGAAGACATGAACCTAAATTCAGTGACCAAAACTCCACATTTTTCAAAGTTTAGTGGCCAAAACTTGATATTTTAAAGTTCAGTGACCAATTGAAGACATGGACCTAAGTTCAGTGACCAAAACACAACATTTTTCAAAGTTTAGTGGCCAAAACTCGACATTTTAAAGTTTAGTGGTCAATCAAAGAAATGAACCTAAATTCAATGACCATTGGAACAATTAACTCTGTTTCGGACTTTGAATTTATGATAGATCTTCGTCTTGCATCTCATGAAATAGTTGCTCTACGACGAAGAGAACCTAATTATGCTTGTCATGTTTGAAACTTTGAATTGGTGATAGATCTTAGCGTTGGATCTCATGAAATTGTTGCTCTAAGGTGAAAGAAGCGCTAGTAGAAATTTATTTATTAAAATTTTTGATTTGTATACTGTTTCAAAAGGGGTAAAAGCTGTATTTATATATCTAAGATAAAAAGGGTAAATTATTGCTCATTCGACTCGCTTTTCTAGTTTTTTTTTTTTAATCAAATAAAAAAATCTATTAGATAAGATAAACTTGAAGTTATAAAAAGGGCCATGATAGGTAAGCGGAGTTAAAAATTATACACGAAATAATAATTTCATATATAACTTTTATTACATAAAATTTAATTTAGCAAAATAAATAAATATAATGTACTTGCCTTACGACATTCTTGTCTACAGTTGCATCGTATGAAATATGATGGAACCGAACGTCACCTTCTTCAAGCCATTAGCGTACAAGAAACATATGTTTTTACTTTAGTTTGAAATATTTCCACCACGCGTTCCAACTCTATCCAAAATATGATTTATCATTAAAGATCTAACATCTTTGAGTGTTGATAAAATCGCAGGTGCTTTTTTTTTTTGATAACCCAGGAACCCGCAACCGCTACTGGCGGAGCCCCGACCACTCTTAGAGCGGAGGCCCGACCACCAGTGCGCACTAGGTAAACCTGGAGGCTGGCACAAGACCCGCAACCACACCAGCCGGTTAAATCTTCTCCAAGGAGAAGGCGGATGTCTCAAGCATGGGTTGAACCCTCGTCGAAGCCAACCCAGTTTCCCAGGCCATGCCTTTTTGCCAACTCGGCCACACGCTCTTGACTAAAATCGCAGGTACTTTGAATATGTTATGGGTTGTACTGGACAATATTGAATATGATATCGTTGTGCATTCCACCAATGAAGAAAACTAAAGAAATCGACTCCAGCAAAATGAATCATTCAATGTGGGGATTCAACTATATGATTATCATACAAATTGAACTCGAAAAAGGTTATATAGTTCGAATTAGAATAAATGTTTCACAATTCTATAATTCTACCTCGTACGGAGGACATATTTGTTTAAAATGTACAATTTAATTATCTCGAAGTAACTCCAAACAATATCCCACTTTGCGTAACTTGTGACGGGAATTGAACATTGTAGTCAGAATAAAAATTATTAATAAACAATGAAAAATATATATGAATTTGTTCTCCATACTTGGGATAAAGAAAAATATTTACTTATGTAGACATATTTTTTATTTTGTCCTTCTTAGTTTACCCAAGAGATTGTCAATAAATTAGCACTTGATATTATAATTGAGTGTAAAGATTGAATATAACAGTTATATTTAAAATCTCTACTCGGAACGAAAATAAAAATTTATTTGCTGAAAATGTCTTGAAATATTAGTGTTTATAACGCAAAGTGGAGATGCTAAATATTGTATTGATCATATTATTCTTTTGTAAAATGTGAGCAATAGTTTGTAGATGATGCAACTTGTTTAATACAAATAGTTATTTTTACGAGTCGGACCATCATTGTCAAAATATGATGCTACTAAAAATATACACCAATTATGCCCTCGAGAACAAGTAGAATCAAAGGTTAAAAGAATACTAATACGGCTCAATTCAATTACGACCTGACTCATCAGGCGAGTCAATTTGTGCAAGTTTCGGTAAGCCGGTCGCCCCACTTAATATCCTTAACCCCTGTTAAGGTTTATTAAACCGACGAGCTAAAAGGTCAACCATTCTAGTTGCAATTTGATATGTGATGACTTTTAGCTTATATTTGTCATTTTTTCTTCAAACCAACTTTCAATCATGTATTTCATGAACTACACAATTTTAATCAATTTTGTAACTACACATTTCATTAACTTTTATTAAAATCAATAAAAAAATTAACTTTTACCTAAACTAAATAAGGGCCTAATATGAGAAACCGAGTACATTGAATAAGTCATTAATTTTACACAAAAGGAGAATATTAAATGCGTGTTTGATTTTTTTTTTTTTTTAAGTCAGATTAATTAATTATTCACTAACATGATCTACAGTCACTATCCACTTTTCATCATTTATTTCATGGTTCATACCAATCTTTTTTTTTTTTTAAATCAAAATCAGCATTTTAGGCTTTTAGCTTTCCTATAGAATCACTAGAAAAAACACAATAATTTATAATTCTCAAAAAAAAAAAATTTTAGACGATTTAATTTTCTGAAATTTATTTTCTTTTCATACAAATTTCATCTTCGCAATCTGACGGACTCAAGATATTTTGTGATGAAACGTGAGGAAACAGTTTACTGCCTAATTTCATCCTCCGTGGATTGTTTCAAACCACAGTTTCTCCAACCAAAGAACGCGCTAAGAATGCCAGAATTATAATATCCCACTGACCTTTTCTATTTGGGCGGCGCTTTTCTTATAGAGAGAGAGCAATTCACGTTCATAGTCATACGCAAAGCATAAAAATCTGCTGCTAAACAGCGACGCTCTCTTTCACGCACATACATAGTGGCATTTCTCTGCTTCAATCATTGTTTCTTAACTGTGATGGATTCAATTCTTCAAGCTCATTTTCAAACAGTTGTTCCATGTTTAGGCGTAACCTCCGCCATCCATCACCTGAATTTGCCTTGCACCCTCGCGCACTATAGCCGTCCCCTCTGTTTCAAGCCTGTCGCTGTTAATTCCACTTCCCCTCGACGATGGCTTGCGGCGGTTGCCTCTTCTGCCACTGCTCACACTGCCAATTCCGTGCCTGTAAGTTCTCATCGTTTCTCTATAGCTGTCCATATTTATACAGTAATGGTTACTTACGCGCTACTTTTCAAAGATTAAGAATTTAAGAAAACCCGAGTACATAATGAAGTGAGGTGACAGTGAGAAGAGCTGTAGAAACTAGACCGTGTTATAAAATTACTGTGAAAGTGATGTTAACGTATTGAAGTGGATTCGAAGAATAGCTTGAATCAAGCGTTTTGAATAGTCTTCTTGCATGTATTTGCAACAAAAGAAGCAAAGAAGATGACCTTCCAACTTAATTGGGAATTGTGGGTTTGAGATAGCTACCTTGTGGCGCTGTCCAAGATATTTACTTTTTTTTCTTAACTAATCAACTGGGACTTGTTGATTCTTAAAATATTCCTCCCACGTGACCCGGGGTGGAGATAGGATTGTAGAGTTTTTGGGCAAATTTCAATAACTAAAATCGTGGGAGCAAAATCTTGAAGTACAAAATTTTAAGCTTGGGGGCAAAAGCGATAACTATAAGGTATTTTTTGAAAATCTTGTGCATAATCATGGAAAATCTTGGATTTGAAATTTAGTGCGGCGGCAACTAACCCACTACCCATACTAAATCAGCCACTACGTGTGACTGGAATCAACCATACCAACACAATCCATGGTGAGGTAGAAGTCACATTGACTTGATATGAAACTGACTAGAACTATGGGCAGGGGAAAACGTTGCGACAAATTTAATAAGATTGGCATTGCTTGGGGTTTTAGGCTGGGGGAAGAGTTAAGTGAGTGGTTCTTGGTAGAACAAAGTTGGAGAGTGGAGATTACACAATCCGTACAGTTGTCTTCATTAATGATGATACCATGGTAATTGGGTAAATTCGTGAATGAAAAATGCCAATTTTAGCAAAATCTTATACTTCTAAAAAAAAAGGCAGCAGAATTCTATATTTCCGCGAAGTTTTTCATCTTAAGGCTGTGGTTATTGCCTTTACTTAATTAGTATCTTTGTTTCCTCAATGTTTCTTTTTATTAATGCATGTTAATTTACAGCTCCGTGAGAGAATGTATAACGTTGGTGATTTTATGACAAGAAAAGAGAATTTGCACGTTGTAAAACCTACAACTACAGTTGACGAAGGTATTTCATACCCTTTTATTTGTTCT